GACAAGTCACGATTGGAAAGAGTCTAGGTTTGTGTTTCTGGGGTGGTGAGGAGTTTGCTAGAAGGGCCTTTGGGGAGGTTGAAAGAGAGAAGGGAAGAGAAGGTGAACAAAAAACTCATCGGGAAGGTGAGAAGCGTTGCGACAAAGATGTTTCAAGCCAGGAGGATGGGTTCGTTGAGGAAGATTGAGGTCTTGGTCGTGGGGCAAGGACGGATTAAGTTTCACTTCAGGGATTGATTTGGATGTTTTTGCTCTCATAGGGATTTTCTGTGTTGTTTATTTGGCTTTGCTTGAGATTGTTTTGAGAGAATCTTAAAGTTGCCAGTTTTGGTTTTTTGGGTTTGTATGGGACTCTTGAGATCTTTGTTGGGTTCTTTGGGTTTGTTTCCTCTTCGGGTAATGTCTTATCACCTTCCTATTGTATTCTTTTTTTCCTTTTTCTAATGAATTTTTATTTTATTCTTCAATAAAAGCTAGCAATTTGCAATGCAAATATCTATCGACAAGGGCTTGACCATTGAGGATGGCAAGAGAGGGACAAAATACATTCAGTGTAGTGGAGCCAAGTATGCATGACTGGATCAAAGGGAAGTGTAGGGATCAAGATAATGAAGTAAATGAATATCGCTTTAATTGAAAAATGGTTCTGCAGATTCAGTCCACAACCTCAACTCCTATGGAGACAGATCATTTTGAGAAGTTTGGTGCTAGAAACTTCAACTGGGATCCAGGTATTTTAGAAGGTCTTTACAGCTGCTCCATCATTTGGAGAGTAATTAGGAAATACCACAATAAATTCTTCCAAGGCATTCAATTAAAAGTGGGCATGGAGGATAGAATTCATTTCTGGAGAGATGTGTGGTGTGAAGGTAGAGCTTTGATGGAGAGGTTTTCCTCCTTGTACATTCTGGCAGAGAATATAGATGCTTGAGTGGCTGGCTCTCACGAAATCCAAGATGGCATCTGTCTTGGTGTCCAACACTAAGAAGGAACTTAAATGACTGGGAAATAGAGGAACTGTATTCTCTGCTCAAGCTACTCGATAGGACTTGTTGAAACCAGATCAGGGGGATTCAAGAAGCTAGAAGTGGGAGCAGTCAGGAAACTTCTCTGTCAAATCATTTTACAAGCAGTTAACCAGCAACTAAAATACAGTTTTCCCTCACAAGGATGTCTGGCTAACCCACATCCGTACCAAGGTTGCATTTCTTATGTGGTCTGTGGTGCTAGACAGATGCCTCACTAGAGACAATTTGCTCAGAAGAGGAATAAACATACAATCAGAAATTTGTTTTGATCTGTTGAAGAGACAAAGAAACTTCTAATCATCTATACTTGCAGTGTACAGTGGTGAGATAGATATACACTCACTTCTGTAACCTCTTCAATCTCTCCTGATTATTTCCAGAAAGGGTGACAGGTCAATTGTGCTCACAGAAAATAAGGGGACTAAGTGGAAAAGGAAGAAAATATGGAGTATTATTACAAAAGCAGTTACTTTGTGTATTTGGAAGGAGAGGAATCAGAAAATATATCAGGAGCAAAGCTGTTCAGTTGATGAGTTACTCAAAGATTATGGGAACTCTTCATTCTTGGTTGGCTGCAATTGATCACTACAGTAATATTTCCCATAAAAATTATTTTGAACCTGCCACTTTATTTTTGTAATTCCTGGCAGAGTTGCTGCAGCATACATATACTATTTGTACAGTTGCTCACTATATATGATTATACTTGTACAGCTGTACTTGTTTACATCCTTTGAATGAATACAATACTTACTTTTTGCTCAAAAAAAAAATAAAAATAAAAAATAGAGCCTCCCCTTGATCTTAATCTTCAAGGACCAACGGCTAGATGTGATGGAGATTATAACCACAAGAATACCAAGGTTCCACCAGTAGACCAAAACTGAACTATGACTATGAAAGAGGATATTGAGGGTCTACAGAAGCAAATTAAACAGCTTTGTGCTAGGTTAGGATAGTAAAGGATCTTTTGTCCACCTGGTGCAGCTATAGGAGGAGAAAAAGACCAGCCCCACATTTATCAGGATCAAAAGGAGATTACAATATGCTGTAGGGAGGAACCAACTTTAGTTGTCAAGGCATCACCTAGGCAACAAGGTGCTCTTGGTAGGGAACCAAGCCTGATCTCAAAAAGGCAGCTATCAAAAGGTAGTCTGCATCTTATAACACAGTATATAAAAGAGGTTTATTATTTTATACAACTACTCTTTCTAACTCTTACATTAAGTAGAACAGGGGTTTGCCACTTGTCCTTTTTCTATGTTAATTCCTATCTTAAATTTCTATTGGCATACAAATAACAGCCTTCTCTAGCTTCTAATTTGACATGATATTGCTCTATTAAATATTCATTATATTACACCATTATGTTTGAATTTTTAAAAATATTGAAATTAATGTTATTAGTAGAGAGCATTGTTATTTTTTCAATTTATACACATACTGTTGACATATAAAACTAAGAACTGACCTATAATTTAGTATTTATCTTGTAAAATTCTATCACCTAGAATTAGACACTTCCTAGGAGACTAGCTGAATAGGCACTCCACTATAACCTAGAATCACCTACGCAACTTAACTTCAGAATCAACAGCCATTGAGTGAGTTGTTAGATGGGAAAAAATGGTTCCTATACTCTGAAAAGCAGCCTAGGATGAATCCTTGTGTTGACTATCGTAGGGATCCACAAGGGAAAGTGGATATTCCAGAGTAAAAGGGAGCCAGAAGAAGCCCTGAAGTGTTTCCAAATGAAGTGCTCCTGTGTTTCCTACTATCTAATTGTTCATTGTTCTCACAGCCACTTTTACAATGGAACGACTTAACAAGAAAAATCAGGTTAAACAAATAAAGCACTGAAGTGGTTGAATGAGTTAAGTTAATATCTCAATAGCTACCCAACAACCAGAAAGTCAAGATAGTGGTATGCTTTACAAGTCCAGATGATGAAGGCTGATGCTAGAAAAGGCAAAACTCAGAAAAGGTCAAAGATGAGAAGGGAGTTTGCTAGGTCTGCCTAACTCAGAACAGTGATTTAAAAGGTGCTTTGTTGTTTTTTTTGAACATAACGGCTGGGCCGGGGGCTCCGCCCCCGGACCCCCGTGTCACACCCCTCGAGACAAGCCCAAACAAGTCCACATTAGGTCTTAAATTTTTAGTTTTCACACAAAAAATAATGATTTTATAGTTTTAAGTACCCCCAATTTGGTAATGTTGTTCATCCACTCATCCTAATAAAATGTCTTCTTAAAAAACAATTAAAACTATAAAATCATTATTTTTTGTGTGAAAACTAAGAATCTAAGACCTAATGTGGATTTGTTTGGGCTTGCCTCAAGGGGGCAATGCACAAAGGCGACTCGTAGAATCAAGAATGCAATATGTTTTACATTACATTAGCTATGTAAAGTACAGCAATTGAGTTGAAAAAGAGATTAGAGGTTTTACATGCTTGAAAATGTTTTATATGTTTGATTTTATTTTTAAATTCTCATTTGAATATGCTTTACATCTTATGTTTATGTATTTTAATTTTAGATAATAGGTTTTTTAAAACATTATTTTAAAATTTAACTTTATATTTTTTAGTAATATTATGTTTAATAATTTTTTTATTTTTTTTGCTACCATCCTCCAATTGTAAGCTCCCATCCTCCAATTGCTACCATGATTTGATCCTTCCTCTCCACGTTTTTTTCCCCTGTTCTGGTTCGCCTAATCACATCGAACCGCGATTACTGCTATGGCCTCTTGATTTCTTTCAGGCCATTCACCACATTGTGGAGGTCAACCTCAATTCTACCAACCAGGTCATCCATGGTTGAAGCTCTGGCCATGAGCATGCTCTGATACCAGAATTGTTAGGTAACTACCCAACTCAGACACAGTTCGAGAGCTATAGACCTCATAACCTCTTTCTTGAACAAAACCTGACATACCCTGGTTGCCCTCATGGCTATTCCCATGGATCTAACAGAGTTATGTGATYAATTTCTTCCTGTCAACTGTGAAAAGGTATCGTTCCAATAGGGTACCAGCACCACTTGGGCAGGATGAGATGAATTTAGGGCCAACCCAGGCCTAACCATTAGACATGGACCTCAGCCCCCAGCCCAGCCCAACTCAAGGTCAGCCCAAGTTAGCTTAGCTAACCCAATAAAACAAGGATTAGGGTCAAGCCTGAGCAGATGTTGGGATCTGATGGTTACTCATTAGTGATTACTAGATTCCCACTCAAAGTGCACCTTCGAGTGTGTAAAAACAGACCACATATTATATTTACGAGGCAATCTGTACTTACACAATGACAGAAGCATGGAAGAGGAACAGGAGCAAACTAGGGAGCAGGGACATTGTAATTATGTATCATAAGAGGGTGCAACAACTAACCATCATGAGTGTTGGATTGGAAGAGCTAAAGTACCTAGTAATATCACACTGGTCCGAGTTCAAGCAATATCACAAATCATGTAAGGAAAAATGCTTTCGCAACATTTAGGACACATAGTACATACAGCCATATTAAAGAAAAAACAGTCAAATCAACAAATATTCCAAACTCTAGAACATGCTAGTACGGAGCAAGTCATATGAATTGATCAAAAAAGCTTAAGTATTTTTACAGAACCAGATTTCATTATTCAACAGCTCTAGACATGCTGCCAAATACTTGGAACATAAATAGACTTTGTCCCTGGAGCACCAAAATAAATTCCAAATGACTTGGGATTTTCAAATGGTCTAGTTTTATCTGGAAAATATAACTAAACAAGGAATTTGCTTAACATATTTTCAACTTTTTTTCTTCAGTTAATAGCCATTTTTGGATTGGACACATTCACTAAGACAGAAGAAACTAAACCATATATTTAAAACATATATACCCTAAGAAAGTTACCACTATCATTTTGGAGCCTGTTAACAAGGTAATGAAAAACATTTTCACCAAATGAAAATGACTTAAGGACTTACTTGAACAAAATTCATAAATGGAACAGTTTTCCGCAACATCAGGCATACGACAACCTAGCAAAATGTAGCAGTCATCAGTGTCTTCAATTTCCAAATCAAATATATAAAGAAAAACTGGCATTTTCTATATTTCACAATAATCCTGTGAACTTTTAAGCAATTTAGTGGTTAAAATCATGCATACTAATAAAGCTCAAGTATCAAATACCTTGCTAAAATACCCAGCTAATAGCGTGCTATGAGAGTGGTTAGGTTGCAAGAATGAGAACAACAAATTCATCAACTGCAGAAGTAGTCGAAAAGCAGACAAGCAACAACATTAAGCTCCATGAAAAATCATTATTTTCTTTAGAAACTTGATCCAACCATGAGGTCATGTTAAGTTACCAATTTCACAAGCCATAGTAAAATGACTGGCCAAACTACTAACCTCCTCATCCTCTACCAATGTTTTGAGTATGATATCAACCTCACAAGTGAATATCTCACACGCAATGAAAGGAAACCTATGTACCAAAGAAGTTAACAATCACGAAACATACGAGCTGTATATCATACTTTACTTCTCAGCAGCAAAATTTACAAAGGAGCCCATGGATAATTACTTGAAAGTGCGTCTCTTTTCAGCATCCTCAGGAGCTTGTTCAACAATGTACCGAAGCAGCTGCTCCACCTGAGCCCTTTCTCTCAGGCTACAAAAAGACAGAAAGTTAAAGAAAAGTGAAGAAAATAATATAAAGCAAGAAGATATAATTACTAGAGAGAATAAAAGTAGAAACAGTGTTAGGTTAAAAAAGAAAAACCTTCTGCACATATTCACCAATAGCAAACATGTACAGAAAATCACAATAAGTTGCAATACTTCACTTTCATTCAAATTTCCAGAAAACTAACAACATAAGATGTAAGATAACCATCCAAAACAAAACAAAATGTTTAAGTCTCAAACATTGACTTGCAATCAAGATGGGAACCTCATAGCTTGAGGAAATTACTTTTCTTGTTCCAATCTTTTTATTGTATGGTTCTGTTTCTTGTCTCTTAAAGATAAATAAATGAAACCTGTATTTGATAATAAAAGAAATTTTTATTAAAAAGAGAAAAAAGGAAGTATACTAATAGTACACAAACTATTACCCCCAACAAAAAGAACACAGAAAGTATACAAACGAATCCTTGTTGATGTTTTCTTGGACTTATACACTGTGGACTTCTTTAATTCTTTTTCCTTTCTGTTTAGTATCAAATTCTCAGAAATGAGAAGCAACAAAAGCAAAAGAAACTATGAATCCTCAAAAATAAATGAACTGTAATGAACTTTTTTATAACTAATAACTTTATCGAGGAATGATAAAGAATAGCTTATGTACAAGCTGCAAGAAGCCCCAAAAGAGGCTGGCAATAGCCACTATCTCACTCTTTCAAGATTAAATTTCATTACCCAAAGTTCCATTAAGTTAGGATAAGACTTGGATGATGATGATGATGATTTCATTACCCAAAACTATGAATCTCAAGTTATTGCATATCTTAATTTTTTTATCAATAACAGATTAGCTTTCATTAAAAAATAACAAGATGGGGGGAGATAAACTCTCTTAACTCCCCACCAAAGGAAATACAGAACAAATTACACGAGCCCAAAACAAAGCATCTCTATTTACCCCTTGCTTAGCTAACCCATCCGCAAAAGAATTTGCACTTCTTTTGAGCCAATTCAGCTTGACTTCAATATCCCTAGTCAGCCATTTAAATTTCCTCTTTTCATTGCCGTAATTGCCAAAATCCAATTGCCTCTTCCTTCCTTCAACCAGCCCACAACTTAGAATCTCCCTCTATGACGAGTTTCTTAATGCTCAAGTCTTTGGCCCTTTGTACACCTTCCAAAGCCACCAATCTGCCATCTCCAACAACCACTTCCTTTCAGAATTGTCAGAATTTCTGTCAAGCACTGGAATGTCACTACTCTCTTTCTCCCCATTTTTCTCCTCTACTGATCTGAATGCTTCCTTGGCAAACTTCTCCCCTAAGAAGAACAGCCACAGAATTTAGATGACTTCCACTTCCTTGTTTATCTGAATAGGTTATATAGAGCATTGTCAACACCCAAAATATGCTGTTTGGTGAAACCAAATTCTATATTGTCCGGCACTCCGGCCAAGAACTCAGACACACAGCTATTCTATGGATTTCCTATGGCAACATCTAAGGGGTCCCTCCACTCAAAGGCATCCAAATCAAGTATCTCTTAAAATATGGCCTATAGAGAAGAGAGATACAAAGTTATTGATCTCTCCCCCCATCTCATGCTACTGGTCTCCTTCCTTGGCTAATATACCCAAGCTGTATTCGAAGTTTGAGAGTAGGTAGCATCACTGATCTAAAAGGTGCACCTAGGTACACAGGCGAGGCACATTTTAGGGTATGCACATTGCCTAGATCCCAGGCACAGCACTTTCAAAAGCCATGCGCCTGGTCCACCTTGTGCTTCAGCTCAGGCACATGCCTTTTGAAAATGTGTGCCTGGTCCAAAAACTCCATGTATGCTAATGTTGCTTATTCATTAATCCTAATAAAAGATGCTTAGAGTTATAAAACCTTTTTTATGGGATTAAGAATTTAAGACCCTGATATGGACTTGTTTGGGCTTGCTTCAATGGGTTTGGTACAAAGGCAGCTCATAGAATCAGCAATGCATAATGTTTAACATCACATTAGCTATTTGAAGTAATGCAATTGGGAAAAAATAAAGAGATTCAGTGTTGACATGCTTGAATATGTTTTATATGTTATGCTTGATTTTATTTTTAAATTTTCATTTTAAATATGTATTACATGTTATGTTTATGTATTTTAATTTGAGATAACAGGTTTTTTTAAAACAAATATTTTAAAATTTAAGCTCATATTTTTTTAATTAATATTGTGTTTAATATTTTTAATATCTTGCATTTTTAAGTTTTTTCTCATTTTTAGCATTTTTTGCATTTTTGCTCCTTGCTTCAAAAAGGTGCGACCCTTGGGCACAAAATGCCCCTTGTGCTTTTAAAACACTAGGTAGCATTAACCTTATCTAAGATATCTTTAGCTATGGACACAGAAATGTAATTGTGATGTAAGGCTACATGAAACAAATCAGCTATGACATAAGTAACCAATAGATTTTCTTGCTCCCATTGGGAATATGACAGATCACCTACCTGGCGTCCCACCTCTTTCCCAAAAAGATACCCCAACTTACCCCAGCCTCCAATAGACAGCTTGATCAAATATGCCACACCAGAAAATTACTACCATCCAATTTCACAGTTATTATTTGAACTGTGGAACTGTCATCAATTTCACATAACTGCTATTTATAGACACAACTTTGGAGGCAGCCATCTCCAGAAACAAAATGGGCCATACAATAGAGTAAAGCACAGAGCAAAGTATGCTTCACAAAACACCTATTTGACCTCCAACAATAGTCACAGCACACAGAAGAAAATATAGAGACCAATTGGTGTCAGAAATAAATCCATCATGGCCCAAAAAATGAGCAAATAGGGTTGGCATGAGACCACTTACTGCTCTCTCCTAAAAAATCACAGGTATCAGACTATAGCAGCCAAAGACATCCAAAACTGACACATCATCAACCAAACCAGAAAACCCTTACTGTATTTTCTGTGATTTTTCCCTTGTAAAATGCATAAAAATAATATTGCATCAAATCACCTCAAAGCTTACACCAAAAATCTTCTAAAATCAAGCTCGACCAGCAATGACCTTCATCTTCTTAGGTCACCCAACAATTGATAACTTCTGGTCCTCCAACAATTTAGAAGAAATGAAACAGCTTAATTGATTTGATTTATACGAATAAAAACAACAAAGAGAAAATACATCCGCTAGGAAGAGAAATTAATAAATTAACAAACTTGGGATGTTAGATTTATGGTCAACCAAGTATGTAGAATAATTAAAAAAATACACATCATTTAACTTTTTTATCAGCAACAAAAATACACATCATTTAACCAAAAATCAAAGGAGACATACGAAGGTTCTTCTTGGCCCTTGTTGTGTTGAATTCTCCTCAAACACTAAGAGAAACAAAGGGTCTATTTGATTCGCAGCCAGAATTAGAATTGGAATTGAAATCAGAATGGCCTATTCCTCCCACTTGTTTGGCTCAGATGGGAATTGGAATCAGCAGGAATGGGTTCTCATTCCCAAGGGAGGGGGAGGGAATGCCTATTCCCTCAAATGGGTGAATGTCATTCCAACAGGAATGGGAATGGTATTCCAATCCACCCAACCAAATGGTTGGAATCAGAATGGACCAATCTGATTCCAATTACAGACGTCTATTCCCGCTAACCAAACGGATCCTAAGAACTTGATTTGCTCTAATGGCCTTTCATTTTACTACTTTTTTTTTGATAAATAATCATTGTTTCTTAAGGTTTACACCTCACAGCTTGAAGCTTGAGTTGTATGCCTCTTTCTGACAAGCGCCTACACCTCACATCAAAGTTATGAAGCTTAAGCATTGAGGCAAAATCTGTGCACTTCACCAGTCACTTCAAGGTGTAAGCCCTTCAAGCCTCTAGGCTTAAGCCTTGTAAAACCATGTATGAACCAGATCAACTACATCTAACACAGTAATGTATCAATTTGCCTCAAATGACTAGCCATCAGAAAATATAAATAAAGGGGATATTGAGAACATTACAAATTGATAAGGCGGCCATTGAGAGCTTTGCATTCTTGAATTATTTCATCTTCATCAAGAAGCTCCTCCAATGTAAAGTTTTCTTTATCCAAAATTGTCTCCACCTAAGATACACACAAATAATAAGAGGAAATATGAGTAAAGATACAAGAATGCAAAGGTAGAAAAAACAAATAAATTCCAATTCCTCCTATTCTTTTTTTTTTTTGTAGAGTAAAGAAGAAATTTTATTAAAATAAAAATCTGGAGGAAGTTAACTTTTAGGATTTGGTCWTCATCAATTTTATCTTTTTTTTGAGTTACTTTCTAGTTTATATTTGTTGTTCCAATGGATTTGAATAGTCCACAAAAGCTAATGTTGTTAAAAGATTCCTTTTATTGGTAATTAAGAAGAGTTTTATTAAAGAAGTGAGGGTAAAGGCCCCAATACAAAAAGAAAGAAATATGCTCAGCCATTACAACAAGCAATAGACCCATCTAACAATAAAAAATAATAGACACCACCCCTTAAAGAAATTGAAATACCATATATTTTTTTTTATAATTGAATGAGCTTTATTAATAACCAAAGAGAAGAGAGTACAAACTTCCCAAGGAGAGGCACGAGATGCGACCTCTTCACATTAGTTAATTACAGCTTTCCTAAAACAAGTTACAAGGTAGCATAAAAAAGACCTTCCCTGCAAACCTCTTGTTTGTCCAAGGAATCAACCATAGGATTTGCCGACTTGCTTACCAGTTTAACATCAATTCTCATATTACTAGTTAACCACTTCACTTTTTTGAGGTGGTCTCTGTAGCCCCAAATGACACCATCCAGGTTTAAAAGCCACCCTATTACCACCTGAGAATCCCCTTCAATCAGAAGATGTTCCACTCCAAGCTGGTTTGCAATCTGGATCCCTTGTACAGCAGCTAGTATTTCTTCCCTTGTAGAATCTCCCACTCCCACCAGTCCTGAGAATAAGGAACTAATGTTTTTTTTTTATAATTGAAATAATTTATTAATTAGCAATAGACAATAGTACAAAGTCCCCAAGGAGAGGCACGAGATGCAACCTCTCCGGGCTAGTTAAGTACAGATTTCCAAATTAATAACAACTTACATAGAAGCACAAAAAAGATCTTCCCAAGAAACCCCCTGTTTGACTAAAGCATCAGCCAAAGAATTAGCAGACCTACTAACCCATTTTACCTCAACTCTCATATTGTTGGTTAACCACTTTACTTTTTTTATGTGATCTTTGTAGCCCCAAATGGTGGTATCCAAGTTTAGGAGCCACCTTGTTACCACATGAGAGTCCCCTTCAACTAGGAGATGCTCCACCCCAAGCTGGTTGGCGATCTGAATTCCTTGTACTGTAGCAAGGATTTCTACCCTTGTGGAATCCCTCACTCCCACTGGTCCTGAGAATAGGGAAATTATGTTGATGTCCTTATTTCTCAGGATACCCCCTATACCTGAAGGCCCGGGGTTACCTTGGCTGCTTCCATCAAAGTTCAGCTTGATGACACCTTCCAAAAGCGGAATCCATTCTGACAGAATTCTATCCTTCTTTGTTGAAGTGTTAGCTATTACTAGCCAATTCCTCGACAAGTCATCAAAGGAGTAGTCATCAAAGATATCCACAGTTTTCAGCCAATGGATTGCTCTTGTTAGGATAYAATCCTTCATTTCATCTAACCCTCTTTCCTTCTCTAAGAAAATTCTTGCATTTTGTTCTTCCCAAAGAGTCCACAAAGTGGCTGCCCTAACACATTTCCACATGACCTTACCTCTTCTAGTATGCCAAACAAAGACAGATGGGTTGAATAACAAGCTTAAATCAAAAGGCATAGACCACCTACCTCCAACAAAGGCTCCACCTCCATATAGATGTAGCAAAGGAACAGGAGATCAGCAAATGGAAACATTCCTCATTCTTGGCCTTACACAAGGAACACCAATTTGGGGAAAGACAAAGCAAGGGTCTCTTTTTCTGTAAGTTTTTCAAAGTATTGATTTTCCCATAGAAGACTTCCCAGCAGAATACAGCAATTTTTGGGGGAATAGGTCGCGCCCAAACTTCTTTGACAAAGAATCCTTGGGAAATGGGGTTAGAACTGAGGGATTTTAGAAAAGAAGAGCAAGTAAAAGTACCTTTTGGAAGAGGAGTCCAAACCCTTTGATCAGAAGAAGTGGGGTCCAAGCAAACGGATTCTAGTAAATGAATTAGCTCAATAACACAACTCGACTCACCATCCCTTAACCCTCTACGAAACCCAAAGTCTCAGTTTAAAGATAAGGGATTTAAGGGGCTTGAGAGAAAAGTTGCAATTGGCTCATGTATGTGAAGGGAAATGGAATAGAGTGAAGGGGAAACAATCTTTGAGGGGTTGAATACCCACCCAAATATCCTCCTAGAACAGAATAGCATTACCAGAACAAGCATCATACCTRATGAATCTGAGGAAGCGAGGGAGAATACCATGTATAGCCTTCCAAGGTGTAGTAAGGGTAGCTCGGCGAGATATCCC